ACTGACACTAAAACTAAGTGTTTTTAATTTTTTCAGCTTTGTTATAAGTCTGCTTAGTGACGTATGCTTCGGGAGGTGCGCTCATGATGCAGCATGTCCTGCTGGAGAGAAACGTTGTGCAGTTTGCCTCACTGAAATCTTGTGTCGTACAGTATGCCAGCTTTCTGGAGTGACATGAACAATCCTGTGAGACGGCCAAAAATCGCACAGTGTGATCCAGGCTTTACTCACGAGAGCAGCGCACCGCACAGAAGCCGGCTCCTTCACAGACGTAAAAAAACTGGAAGTACTGGTTTTTCCAAGTAAAATAAATTCTAAAGTTTCGTTATATTTAAATTAATTTTAAACTGTGATTATGGTTAGTAATACATGTGCAAATATAGACTATATGCCGTAAATCCTCTAATACAGGCCTGGGCTTGTATTTGACTCAAGCTCATCAAGTTCCAGGCCTTTATTGGAAGGAGGGCCAGAATTAGAGGCAGGCCTCAATTTCTATTTGAGCAAAATGAACTAATGGCTCGCTGGAGTTTTTGACAATTAAAATTGAGCCCACATTTTCAAAGTTATACCCATTTCTTTTAACAACGGTAGTTTCTGCTTCAGCCCTCTCCCCCCTCCCCCTGCGCAGCGGCCGCAAACTCACTGATGCGCCTGCAGCCTCTCGGAGTTCCTGCTGCTCTAAACATTAAAATAATTATTTCCTTTTCTGTTCCTCACTTCTGATTACCTTCAATGGTGTCTGTTTGTTGCAACCAGCAGGTACAAAAACTAACTTGTTTTTATTTGACAATTTTTCTGTCCTGTATCTGTTTATTATCTTCCTGCATCTCCTCTCAATCCTAAAGAAAAACTGCTACCTGGGTTCATATATATTCACCTTATGAGTTACCTTTGAACTGCAGTTCTAAAAGATCTACCGACCGCAAAAACAGCGGAGCGCTCGCTGCTTGGCGGCCGCATCAGTGATCAGTGCGTCACCGGAGGACAAGGTGATGCGCCCCGCTCCACAGCAAAACGCATCAGGCGCAAATAAAAGACAGAAACCAAAAAAAGAAATGAGCCGACATGAACGATCGCGTGTTAAATTAGTTTTTGAGGTGGCGACATCTGATTTGATAATGTTACTGTGGCCGTGCTCAGGACGCAGATGTCTGGAGCACGTCAACAATCAGAGCTTTGCATATGCAAGCTGGTTAAGGTTAGGATGGGGGTGAGGGGAATGTTAAATTGCAAGAGGGTAAACGTCACAACTTGGTTAAATGTCCGTTTTACGACGGGTGTCAGTACCGGTGCTCTGGCACAGCGCGTTGACCCCCCCCCCCGTTGCGCAGGAGCTTGTCAACTGCTGACAGCAGGCTGCAGTGTTTTCCGAGGGCTGCATCTTGCTGTTCATTATCACGTGACAGCGACTAGTCAATGACAGGCATAAAAAGTCACTATAGTGAAGTCGACTAGTTCATACAACCCCTACTGCTCCCCAGTGTTCTGCAGCATAATCAGCACGTTCTCTTTGAACTTGATATCAAATTTTCACCTCCTCTTCGACTCCGCAACTGCCAAATTGCAGTCTGTCACTGGCAAATCAAAAGTGAGACGGATGACACAACCGCCCCCCCCTGTGGTACTTGCTTGTTACCACATTCCACCCGGCCACAATAAAATACCGGCCATTATTCACCTCCGCCGACTCCGACACCGGCCAAAATATGATACCCGGCCATTAATTGAATACAGGCCAATATTAGAGGATTTACGGTATGTCTCGTATTTCCCAAAAAAAAGCCAAGCGGCGTGCAGCAGTGGCAGTTGCCGAGGCAAAATCTCGGGCGTGGGAGGAGTTTGGTGAGGCCATGGAGAAAGACTATCGATCGGCTCCAAAGAGGTTCTGGCAAACTGTCCGGCGCCTCAGGAGAGGAAGGCAGCAACTCGCTCACACTGTTTACAGTGGGGATGGGGAGCTGCTGACGTCAACTGAGGCTATAGTCGGACGGTGGAAGGAATACTTTGAGGAGCTCCTCAATCCCACCAATGCGCATTCCGAGGAGGAACCAGAGCTGGGAGGCCTGGGGATGGACTGTCCGATCTCGGGGGCAGAAGTTGCTGAGGTAGTCAAACAACTACACAGCGGCGGAGCCCCGGGGGCGGATGAGGTTCGTCCTGGGTATCTCAAGGCTGTGGATGTTGTAGGGCTGTCATGGTTGACACGTCTCTACAACATTGCGTGGTCATCGGGGGCAGTTCCTAGGGAGTGGCAGACCGGGGTGGTGGTCCCCATCTTTAAGAAGGGTGACCTGAGGGTGTGTTCCAACTATAGGGGGATCACACTCCTCAGCCTCCCTGGAAAGGTCTACGCCAAGGTACTGGAGAGGAGGGTCCGATCGATAGTTGAATCTCAGATAGAGGAGGAGCAATGTGGTTTTCGTCCTGGCCGTGGAACTGTGGACCAGCTCTATACCCTTGCAAGGGTGATGGAGGGGGCATGGGAGTTTGCCCAACCAATCCACATGTGCTTTGTGGATTTGGAGAAGGCTTATGACCGTGTCCCCAGGGGCACCCTGTGGGGGACGCTCCAGGAGTATGGGGTGGGTGGCTTTCTGTTAAGGGCCATTCAGTCCCTTTACCAGAGGAGCGTGAGTTTGGTCCGCATAGCCGGTAGTAAGTCGGACCTGTTCCCAGTGAGGGTTGGACTCCGCCAGGGCTGCCCTTTGTCACCGGTTCTGTTCATCACTTTTATGGACAGAATTTCTAGACGCAGCCGTGGTGTGGAGTGTGTCGAGTTTGGTGGCAGGAGAATCTCGTCTCTGCTTTTTGCGGATGATGTGGTCCTCCTAGCTTCATCCAGCTCTGACCTTCAGCTCTTGCTGGGTAGGTTCGTGGCCGAATGTGAAGCGGCTGGGATGAGGATCAGCACCTCCAAATCTGAGACCATGGTTCTCGACCGGAAAAGGGTGGCTTGCCACCTCCGGGTCGGGGGAGAGGTCCTACCTCAAGTGGAGGAGTTTACGTATCTCGGGGTCTTGTTCACGAGTGAGGGTAGGAGGGATCGGGAGATCGACAGGCGGATTGGTTCGGCTTCTGCAGTGATGCGGACGCTGAGCCGATCTGTCGTGGGGAAGAGGGAGCTGAGCCAGAAAGCCAGGCTCTCGATTTACCGGTCGATCTACGTCCCAATCCTCACCTATGGTCATGAGCTTTGGGTAATGACCGAAAGAACGAGATTGCGGATACAAGCGGCCGAAATGAGTTTCCTCCGTAGGGTGGCCGGGCTCAGCCTTAGAGATAGGGTGAGGAGCTCGGACATTCGGGAGGGACTCGGAGTAGAACCGCTGCTCCTCCGGATCGAAAGGAGCCAGTTGAGGTGGTTTGGGCATCTGGTCAGGATGCCTCCTGGACGCCTCCCCGGGGAGGTGTTTCGGGCATGTCCTGCCGGCAGAAGGCCCCCGGGTCGACCCAGGACACGTTGGAGAGGTTACATCTCCAATCTGGTCCGGGAACGCCTTGGGGTCCTGCCGGAGGAGCTGGTGGACAAGGCCGGGGAGAGGACGGCCTGGAGCTCCCTAATTGGGATGCTGCCCCCGCGACCCGGACCCGGATAAGCGGAGGAAGACGAAGACGAAGACGAAGTCTCGTATTTCCATCCCAAAAATAAATTCTTAAGGTACGTTGTTTTATTTATTAATTTATTTATTATCCCTCTGAAAGTGTGGCGGCTTTATTTTGCTGTGGTGGCACGCCACGGTGAAATACACATAGCAGAAACCCTTCTATAGGGAGCCTAAATCTACTTCCGCATCATGGGTCCCCAGAAGAACGAAAAAATTAATGCAAGTCAATGGCACTAAAAATGCTATTTTCGAACCCGCTTTACCTTACGCCCTGGATCACACACATGCTGTACTGCAATTTAAATGAAAAGTAATGATGGGTGTTTCGACCATGCCAGTGACTTACTTTGAGATTTATTAGCTTGTAAAAGTTTGTAATTAACATGAAACTAGAAATCAACATGTCGCATATGTGACGTCACCACATAATCTCTCCTCGCCAAAGTAGCTGCTACTTACCACATGACCAGATTTGTGGTGGTTCTTTCCTCCTGTGGAAAGTTTGCTGAACTTACAGCCCTTTTCCCTCAGTTTTCTTCGTGTCTGGTTCAATGGTTCGCATTTGTAGTCCTGGACTTATTTTCACCCAAAACCTAAAATAGTGTTTCCCCCCGTTCAAAAATAAGCACGTTCTTGGTATCAAAATGTGTCTTTAAAAATTCATGGACATCATATGTGAAATCCATGGCACAAAACAAGCGGAGTTAGAAAATAGCATTTTTAGCACCGTTGACTTGCACTAATTTTTCCATTCTTCCAGGGACCCATAATGCGGATGTAGGTGGGCGTGACTTAGGCTCCCTATGTTTTGGATTGGGGTCCTTAACAGTCATCCACAGCACCAGCCTACCCATGGATTGACCTGACTTTAGACTGACTCTACTAAAGAAGCCTGTTGTCTGATGCCAATGGTCTAAAAATGTAAAAAAAAATTGGCAGATTCATTGGCTAACCAATAAATCAGTCAACCCATGGTCCAGACCTTAACCCCATCTTTGGGATGTGCTGGAGTATGCTTTGCGCAGCGGTCAGACTACCATTATCAATGCAAGATATTGATGAAAAATGAATGCACCACTGGATGGAAATAATGCCACAGTGAATGCATTCAGCAGTAATAGCTAAAAGTGGGCCAACAAGTGTGTGACCTTTTTTTGGGCCGGACAGTGTTTTTATTTATCCATGAAGCCTCATGAATCAATCAGTTAATCCAACTACCAGAAGATCTTAAAGTCGAAAAGATCTGGATTACTTTAAATTTGTTTATTTTTATATGTTAAACAAGACAGAGGTTGTATTTTTTTGGACATGTCCAACCTTTGGAGGTGAAAGTGTAGTCAACACTAGAATTTAAAATGGTCTTGTGTTTGTTTTGTGTGTTTTCATGTGAACCTTTCATCCAGGTAAATCCTCAGCATCTTCCAGTGGAGACGTCTGGTGTAAAAGATGAACTTAGCCAGTTCTGTGGGGTGATCCACTAGTATGCCTTTAGACATGAAATAACCTATACCCTACACGCACAAACAAAAATACATAAAGAAAGATCATGAAAAATTGGGAATATTTGAGTTTTTGTGGGTTTTGGAAATATTAGATACGTGTATGTTTTGTAATTTTCACCTCTTGTGGATTAGCGTTGAATGTTAAGCTGCCTTCATCTAGCTGTAGATACAACCTTCTATAAGAGAAGTCAGCAGGTAGTCTTTTGTTGTAGATGGAGCAGTGACCCCATGTGGACTTGCACAGCCTGATGGATAAAAAAAAAATAAAACAGGTACATGACACCAAATGTAGACACAACAAATTTGAACATCACAGTACATCCATGGAAATAACAAATGTACTTCTATTAGGGATGTGTATTGATGAAATTCTGGCGATACGAAACTTATCACGATACAGGGTAGACGATACGATATATCACGATATATTGTGATACATTCAGTCGGACAATTATAGCGATTTTTTTAGACTAAAATTATTATAGGAAAATTAAATTAATGGTTCAAACTGATACTTAACACGATTAACATGAGGTATCTGAACCATAATAGAGGGATTTACATTTCAGTGGTGGAAACAAACTCCATTGCACCCTACTGCTGACTAGCGGACGGCATTTGATTTGCACCAAAAGAAAAGAAAATACACAAATGTTTGCACATAAATTCTTCCAAAAAAATCGATACACAGCTTTTGAACATCGATCTAATATCGCAGGAAAAAATATCGCGATATATTGCTATATTGATATTTTCTGACATTCCTAACTTCTATCATTACAGACTTGTGAGAATGTGGGGAAGTATCGTACCCCTGCCACAGATATTCGTCATTTCCCAGGTCCTGCCACACACAGCTGGCCAGGCATAGATCCGTAGCATTCAAGTACGACAAGATGGTAATACCCAGTTCAGGTGGGAGCATCTCCAAGTCTATAAAACTGTGTGGCTCTTTACCTACAACAAATCAGACAAAAGATGTTCAGACTTATTTTAAATATTCTGTATGGGTTTTGTCTGAAAATACGTCTGGGACTACAAACATGCATCACCAAATTGATGTCATTGAACCAGAAATGGAGAAGAGCTTAGGAAAAATGGCTTTAAGTTAAGCAAGCTTTGAGTCCTCCTTTCAGGAAGACAGTCAGTTACCCAATGAGGATTTTACTTCAACACAAATACAGATATTCATGGGTTTTACTTGTTTTTACTTGCTCGTACTCGTCAAAAATGCTTTATCTGTACCGAATACTCGTCTGAAACGAGTATCCGGCTCATCCCTGGTACTAATGATCACCTGCTCATACAGTCCTCCAGCTCCTCAATAATCGTAGCTAGTGGTAGGTCAAGCGACATGTCAGGTGGGGTCAGAGTCATGATGTGGCTTACTAGTTTGATGAACTAAAACAAATGAATAAGGTTCTAGTCAGACTTGTCGCTCATTCTTCTGAATAAACATTTTGATACTCAAAAACTTGATGTGACAGTGTGTATTTTTCCTGGCGATAGGGGGCAGTAGATACCTAAATCATTGCAAGCAAGCAGTATTTTTGTGTTGGAGTAAGACCTTACCAACAGATGCCCATTAGGGTCAAAAAGCCTCGGGGAGTGCAAACTTTATCAAAATAACGAGCACATCAGACTCCCTTTCATCACTGGCAACAAGTGAAGAGGTAAAGTAAAACAACAACATTTAAGAATGATTTGTAACCGTTTGTTACAAATCAGTAAATGCATTTTGTCCTCATGGGCTCCCAGAGAAGGAGACGTGGCATCTAAATGATAATAATCGGAGAAAAATAATCGCTTTAAATGTTTTTTATGGTATGATTTTCATGACTATATTGTAAATAATGTGTTAAAACTTGATTTGAAGAATATCGTGAATTGAACTGAAATCATAATTTCTCATGAAAAAATATCGTAATTTAACCTTTTCCTAAAATCGTTCAACCCAACAACACAAGACTTTCATTTTTCTGGAAGACAAGTAACCTTCATCTCTTTTTCCATTTCGTCCTCCTTTCTTCGTCAGGTGGTCGGCAAGCTCTTCCTGAAGCTGTTGCTGTTGCCTGGGTGGGAGTCTCCAAAGTACCTGACCCATCTGTGTGAGAGAGACACAGCTCTAAATACGTCTCCCACAAGACAGCTCTAAGTAATTATTTTAATCGTAGTTTAACAGTGTTTACCGTCTAGCTTCCTCCACATTTTACCAAGGTGTACGGTATTACCGGGACTAATGTTAAAATGATGATATAAGCTTCAAGTGGAATTACCAAACTGTTGGTTTGGACCTTCACCGCTCAGAAAATGAATAGACTCTTTTACTAAAACCATAACAACAAAACACACATAATATTAACAACTTTTTTAAAATGCAGCTTATAAAAAGATTTTTTTTGCCTGAAAAACCAGCATGTTTAACTTTTCCAGTTTCAACATAGGATGTTGTGGACCGACTGCTGAAAACCTGCTTCGATGAGCTTGTGGCACCAACATATGGTCTAAACATCTGGAGAAGGCTGGCTGCAAATTTCCACCAGAAAAGTGCGTTGTCTCTTTTAATAACAGGCTCCAGACAGAAAACTGCTATTTCAGCTATGGCATGCTCCGCTACGGTGCCAACACGGCGTGCGTCTTTCGCTGTCATTTTTTGTTTGCACAAATTACCTCATCAGTGTTTACTGACTCTCCTTTAAAGTTTGCTTCAAACCTGAAATACTACCAAACTGCAGAAGCTGTATTCTTTTTAGACAGCAAGCATTGTGCGTGAACTGCCATTTATCTCTCAGCATGCAGTCTCCACGCTGTCAAGTGTAGGGTTGCAGGGATCAACCGGTTTGACTATTTACCCCAATTTACTATATATAGTATAAAAAAACATTGGTTCAAGCACTGAACCCTGTTGTACTTCACAAGTAACCACAAGTAAGTGTCTGTGAACTTGTTTAAAGTTGTTTTAACTTGTTTTTATCTGTTTATATGTTTGATCTTTGTAGCACTGTGAGGTATGACGTCACATGCATAGTGCATTACAAATAAAACTCATTATTATTGTTTTTATGAACCTAAAGTATGAAGATTTGTCATGTATATTAACAAAATGAAATCTGCCAGTCAGGTAGGATTTAAACGAGCCTAGCGATGTTCCTATGATCCCTACAACATGTTCAAGCCTTTCTAAAAGAATATTGTGATCAACTGTGTCAAAAGCAGCACTGAGATCTAACAAGACTAGAATAGACACAAGATTCTTATCTGAGGCCATGAGAATATCATTTGTAACTTTCACTGATGCGCCCCTGGGTCCCGGATTGCTGGGTTCCGGGCTCGGCTGACCTTGAGGTGGGAGGCTGTGGCCGGGCCTGTGGGCTTGCCGCTGATATCTCCCAGGACTCTGCCGGCTGCTGGCTGTGACCCCCCAGGACAATTCTCTTCGCCTCTCAAGAGGGGGCTGGGGCTTTTCTGGTTACAGTCTCCCTGGGGTCCCTGCGCTCCGGGGCAGCTCCTGGATCTCTGGGACTTGGAGCTCCCTCCATCTTCTACACGTTTGGGGAGCAGACCTGTGGCCCCTCACACTCTCTATTGGACGCTCCTATAGAGAAACCTTACATATACAAGCGCTGGTACGCACACAGGTGCTCATATGGTGCTCTCATAAGTATGGACTTGGGCAAGTTCAACACATGTCTTAAGGCTGTGGTTGGCACTAAATGCACTGTGATTTATTATCGTGTGATTGTTCAGTAAAACAATGTTGATTTTATATTTCCTCATCAGGTTGACACAGTGATAGCTTGCTCTTGTTGTGTATCCCTTTTTTTGTTTGTTTGTTCTTCTCTTTCTGCAGGTCTAGAAGCAGACTCTTGCTTATCATGTATTGTTTATTTTCTGGTACGAATTATAAAGCATACAAAAAACAATAACAATAAAGTTTTAAGGATCAGGCGTGACATTAAAGCAGAAGCTTTGATGCTCAACCTGAGAGCAAACCTGTAAGGCTTGTTACCAACATTCAGACATTAATTCTGTTTGCTTCACAGCCAGACAGGACACGGGGGGTAAAAAAAAAAAAAAAAAAAAAAAAGAAAGTGATGAGGAAAAAGTGATGGGATAAAAGGTTGATCATATTTTTTAACCCTGTCTGTTGGGTGACTGTTTAGCGTGACGTCTGATATATAGTCCCATAGCCACGCCTTGGTGTGGGGGCTGGGGGGTGCGTCAACATGGTTGGGAACTTGGGACATAAAAGGGGGTGCGCGGCTAAATAAGTTATCACTGTTTAGGGCAGATGGCAGACTGCACGTGTGGTGTCCTGTGGGTGAGCAGTTTGCTGATGTCAACGTTGTGGAATGAGTGGCCCATGATGGTGGTGGGGTACTGCTATGGGCAGATGTATGTTATGGACAACGAACACAGGTGCATTTTATTGATGGCATTTTGAATGCACAGAGGTCCCATGACAAGATCCTGAGGCCCATTGTTGTGCCATTCATCAATGACCATCACTTCATGTTGCAGCATGATAACGCACAGCACCATTTTGTAAGGATCTGTACACAATTCCTGGAAGCTGAAAACATCCCAGTTCTTGCTTGGCCAGCATACTCAATATACATGTCACCCATTGAGCATGTTTGGGATGCTCTGGATCGGCGTATATGTGTGTTCCAGTTCGACTCGTTGCATTCTCCCTCAACCCAAATCCTCGGATCACGCATTTTAGCAAAAACGCTTAACGTTAACTTGCCTTGCGTTGACTGTAGAGTTGTGGGTGATGGTCAAGCAGATGTGTCATGGGATTTGAAGCGTCGCTGCCTTTCACAGACACTTTTTCTGCACGTGCTGCAAACAGGATAGCCGTCTTCTATCAACTGTCCCTCGGCATTCTTCAGATATCCAAAAAATGCCCGTACTTCCCACTTTGTCTTCTTTGAGGGATAATAAACGTCCTGAGCGCTGCCGTCTCCTCCTTTGGCTATTATTTCAGCTTTAGCGTCAAGAAAGTTTTGGTTGTAAACAACAAAGTGCGCATGTGCCACCGGCAACTTCAGCAGATGATACAGTGGCTGGTAAGGGTCAAAGCGCCTACACCGCAGCCACGGTAATCCACCAAGATAATATATATATATTTTTAAAACAAGACGGTTAATATTTACCGCTACACCGGTTACCGTGACAACCCTACTGGCAACATTCCAGCTCTGACAACCACCCTTCCAGCACCACCAACTTCTACTGCCTTGCCACCAGTCACCACCACTTCACAAACTATTGTGCGTGCCACTGCTAGGCTCTATGTAAAACCTGTTCTAAAAAAACCATGTCCCATATGCCAGGCTCTAATGAACAAAAAAAATCTTAAAAGACACATTGAAAGAAAGCACACCAGCAGGCCTAAAGAAATAATTCAATTCAATTCAATTCAAAAATACTTTATTAATCCCAGAGGGAAATTGATTGCTGTAGTAGCTCAGAATAATAATAATAATCAAGTCATCAAAGAGTTATTGTATATTACAATGGCTGTTAGCAGGAAGGATCTCCAGTAGCGGTCAGTGTTGCAGCCAAACTGAAGAAGCCTCTGACTGAAGACACTCTTCCGTTGTCGGACAATCTTGTGAAGAGAATGCTCAGGGTTGTCCATAATTTTCTTGATTCTCTGCAGAATCCTTCTTTGCATTATCTCCTCCAGTGGTTCAGAAACTGCTGAAACTCTGGCTGAGTCCTTGAAAGGTCTTGGAGTTCCTCCATCTTGTTGGCCAGCGATCTCACACTGCCCATTATGATCGATGGAAGAGATGGTTTGAATTTCCTCTTTCTCTGTCTCCGTTTTGCTCCCGCTCTGCACCCACGCTTCTTACGTTTTAGCTCATTTGGGATTTGTGGCTTCAGTTGAGGTGTTATTTCAGCCTTTCCAATGTTAATCAGCTGCTCCCGATTGTAAACCAGCTCGTTGCCATGGTTACGCATCATAACAAATGCTCAAAAAGTGAAAAAAGCTAAAAAATAGCAGTCAAAATCCTCCAAGCTTCACAGCACCAGAAACAGAAAAGTAAAGTGTCCAAAAAAAGTTTTTCTTGAGAAACTAGAAGAAAAAATATCCAAGAAGAGGCAAAACTTACATATAGTCAACAGAGCTACTCCAACATGCAGCCACCCAGAGCAGCGCAGTTCCGTGGATGTAGATAACCTCTACATCCCACCTTGACAGTGAGTGTATAGACCCAGAAAATTTGATTTTTACTGTTAAAAAGTCTTTATTTGGAACAAGTATTCCTCTTCATGTTCAAAGCAAATTATGGGGAGAAAATCAACACATGTTCTGTGAACTGAATGAGTACCAGGTGAACATGGAGTTGGCATGGAGGAGTGGCTTGAAATCTTATGTGTGCATACATCTAAAATCAATAACATACTCTTCATCAAATGCCATCTGTCCTGCACTTCAGGAAGAAACACTAAAAGAGATGGTGAAAAGTAGGGCTGGGGGTAAACGATTATTTTTAAAACGATTATTCTGACGATTATTTTATCGAATAGTCGACTATTCTAATGACTATTTAGAAAATTAATCTAATGATTATTTTTCTATTGCACAATTAACAAAAACCAGAAAATCTCAAATAAATTCCTCAAAAAAATTGATAAATTGTTACTGTAAGAGAATAAACACTACAGGCCTTCCATTTTGTATAACACTGCATTTATTGTGTTGGTTGGTTATGTTCTGGTGACGTGTAGAACTTGGGAGTGCAGGCTGCTGCCTGAGAGGTGGTAGAAGATGGAGTGTCTCCATGCTGCTTTGTTTTGGTCACTTATGTGCATGAGGCGAGTGGTGTTACGGGTTAAACCAAACTCAGGTGATATTTTACACTAAACCGAAAACCCACAACACTCTAAATGTAATGAAAGGGAGATCTACACCACAAAAAAGATGAACTCTAAACCAAAACGTAACAGCTTATCCCAACGCAAGAAGCTGTTAGCGAAGATGCTAACAGTAGCTTTACCAACGTTAAGTTCAAGTTACCAAGTTTAAATAAACCAAAAACACCCAGCAGCAAACAGACCAGCACGGAGGAGAGACTGCTACCACCAAAACAGCTCTCCTCATGTCTGAAAGAAGCTCCTTAATGAAGGGAGAAGCGCTCCCGGTGATTTTCTACATCTGCGATAGACACGAAGCAGTGCATCTGACCCCGGAAGTTGTTGTCCGTTGCCGGGAGACGAAGGCGGGCAAAACAGGAAAATAATCTAGTAGTGGACGGACGTTGTTCCGGGTCTTCGGTATTTGGCGGAGATGTTAGTGAAGGCGGAGAAGAGGGCGAACTAGAGGAAAAACAGGCAGATTCCTCCTCTATTTACAAACTCCTGGGGATGCAACAAGTGGGCGCGGTGCGTCGACTTCCGGATCTGACGTCGACAAATTTTTAGAATCGAGCCGTCGACGTAGTCGAGGCTTCGCTACAGCCCTAGTGAAAAGCAAGTGGTTTGGCGAAGATAAAAAGAAATTGTGCCTTGAACGACAGAATCTTGCTGCAACTAGGGCTGTAGCGAAGCCTCGACTACGTCGACGGCTCGATTCTAAAAATTTGTCGACGTCAGATCCGGAAGTCGACGCACCGCGCCCACTTGTTGCATCCCCAGGAGTTTGTAAATAGAGGAGGAATCTGCCTGTTTTTCCTCTAGTTCGCCCTCTTCTCCGCCTTCACTAACATCTCCGCCAAATACCGAAGACCCGGAACAACGTCCGTCCACTACTAGATTATTTTCCTGTTTTGCCCGCCTTCGTCTCCCGGCAACGGACAACAACTTCCGGGGTCAGATGCACTGCTTCGTGTCTATCGCAGATGTAGAAAATCACCGGGAGCGCTTCTCCCTTCATTAAGGAGCTTCTTTCAGACACGAGGAGAGCTGTTTTGGTGGTAGCGGTCTCTCCTCCATGCTGGTCTGTTTGCTGCTGGGTGTTTTTGGTTTATTTAAACTTGGTAACTTGAACTTAACGTTGGTAAAGCTACTGTTAGCATCTTCGCTAACAGCTTCTTGCGTTGGGATAAGCTGTTACGTTTTGGTTTAGAGTTCATCTTTTTTGTGGTGTAGATCTCCCTTTCATTACATTTAGAGTGTTGTGGGTTTTCGGTTTAGTTTAAAATATCACCTGAGTTTGGTTTAACCCGTAACACCACTCGCCTCACGCACATAAGTGACCAAAACAAAGCAGCATGGAGACACTCCATCTTCTACCACCTCTCAGGCAGCAGCCTGCACTCCCAAGTTCTACACGTCACCAGAACATAACCAACCAACACAATAAACGCAGTGTTATACAAAATGGAAGGCCTGTAGTGTTTATTCTCTTACAGTAACAATTTATCAAATTTTTTGAGGAATTTATTTGAGATTTTCTGGTTTTTGTTAATTGTGCAATAGAAAAATAATCATTAGATTAATTTTCTAAATAGTCATTAGAATAGTCGACTATTCGATAAAATAATCGTCAGAATAATCGTTTTAAAAATAATCGTTTACCCCCAGCCCTAGCTGCAACCAACCATAAGCCCTCTCCGTTCTTACTAAAATAGAAACACCAGAGTCCAAAAAAATACATCTCGGTTTTTGAACCCACTGTTTCATATTGCAGCCTGTTGGGACGAGTGAATGTTACATATGACAACAAAAAATTCACGGCACTGTCCTTGTGCCAAAATAAAGAGGTCATGCCCTCACAAATACAATGCCCAGTGGCACTCGTTTCAAACCCATCTCAGTTTGTTCAGACGAGTAAGGAGCATAGATGTGTAGGAAAGCCTGGACACAGTACCATCAATCGTAGATGACATACGAGAAGAAGAGGAGGAAGACAGGTCATTTCCCCCAGAAGATCAGGAAAAGATGAGGCGCATGATCGGGTACATTTTGAAGGAAAAACAAATCCCTGTCGTTCTGCCAGGACACATAATCAATCCTGTTAACAGAGAACACAGGAAGCATCTCATTCCTGAAGAGATGCTGTGCCAGCACTGCCCGGGCAATGTGCCGTTGAGTGACCCAGTTCGTATAACCAATAAGGCCAAGATCCTCACCAACAGAACAATTGTGCATGGTAGGCAAAATCATTTTTGATTAGCTAATTTCTAATGAAATTACGTGACAGTTGTGATCAGTTTAGAGGGATTTGTGCTTAACATTTTTTTCTTTTCTCTGCAGACCCCACCTCCACCTCACACACACCATGGCCTACCTCAATAAAACATTAAACACTATTCCAGTGTCTCATAGTTTTTTGTTTCCTATTTCCACAACAAAAATGAGAAATAAACACCACAGATAAGGTATTTCAAACTAAATGTTTTCCAGTTTATAGAAGAAAATAAAAAACATAATGGACCATCCAAAGGACCAATAATAATGCAGCTGGGTTTTAAATAAAGTTTTACTTTAATGAAATGTATTAAATTCATCATTGCAAAGTTCCACAGCATTCTGCATTGAAGGTGTTACAAGGTGGATGATCTAAGGGTGTCCAGAACCAGGAAAGTTGGAAAACGTTTTTTTTTTTTTGTTTCTACAAACAACTTCAATTAAATTAATATGATAAAAGCTTTTATTATTATTATTTTCATTGCTGAATAAGCCAAATTTGAAACTGCAGGGAGAGCATGATGACGTTTTCCACAACTGTAAACATGTTACCACTTTTCAGAAGTCTCTAAAATTGTGGCTTGCACGCCTCAAAGGACCAAAACCATGTCATTACATGTTTCCAAATGTGTTAAAACACACAGAAGAAAATGATGTCACTGACACACAAGTAAAGCATCTTACTGAACTCATTGTAACCCACATTGTAGCTCTTAATAGTAGTTTTGATCGCTATTTTCAAAAAAGACAGATTTGATGAGTTGAATGGCAAAAGGTGGATTCAAAATCCCTTCGCTTATGAAAATCCAGAATCTCTGCGTGAGTTAGGATTGACTCCAGAAGAAACAGAGATGTTACAACTGAGCAGTGATCCTTTGCTAAAGAAAAGACATGAATGCATGCAGTTGTCCTCATTTTGGATGAGCTTCTCATCTGAATATCCTGCCTTAAGTAAGGCCAGCTTTCAGCTTCTCAATCCCTTCACAACAACATACAAATGTGAAGCAGGGTTCTCAGTTCTAACAAAAATAAAGACAAAATTCAGAAGTAGACTGAATGCTGCACCAGATATGAGAGTTGCATTATCCTCTTGTAAACCAGACTGGAATGCAATACTGAAAAACAAGCAAGCCCATCCATCACATTAGCAAGGCAAAAAATAAATAAATAAATAAATAAATACATAATTTTGGTTATGACTTTCATCACTAAGCATATGTGAAAAATATTTTCTATGCTTAAAACAATTTTTGGATATTTGCCTGTTCTGAATGTTTTATCTAAAAGTTTTGTGCAATACTCCGTTTAATGTCCAAAGATAAAAACATTATCCTTATTCTGAAAATGTTTTGTTTTTCAGATTATTTCTAAATACATTAAAAATGTGCATAATGTTTCAAATACGGTTTTTCATTTTTATGTTCAAATTTGACATTTTTAAGTTAAAAAAATAAGAAATGCAAAGGATAGTAAAATGCATAGGATTTTGTTTAAAGAACAGTTGCATTTATAATGAGTAAATACATTTTTTTAAATGGGGTCATGATGTTTTGTCTTTTTCAAAATGTGGGTCATCTGAAAAAAAGAATGGGAACCACTGGTCTAGTCAATTTCCCCATCATCAATTTCCCCATCACAGGAACGATCCTGGAGTTCTGGTATTGGAAACATGCCTATTGTCCTACAAGACAGCTCTAAACATGTGTCCTTCAAGTTGAAGTAAAAGCTTTTACTTCAATTTGAAGGACTGTTCAGAATCAGCTTAGAAAGAAAATCGAGTCTGTTGACAAGTGAAGCTTCACTTTAACCCAGTTTTTAAAAAGACCATTCTAAATCGGACTGTAAAATCTAATTAAAAGCTCGTTTCTGTTCAATGAGTGCTCACGTTTCTGAATACTACTACTAATAATAATCTGACCTGGAGGTGAATTACGTATTTAGACGTCCAGTTGATCTACATTAAATAAGACGATCGTAACATACCAGTGAACGAGGCAGAAAAACTTTGGACTGCTGCTTCTCTCCGTCATTCTTTGAGCTCAAACTGCTAAACAGCAGCTAATATGTTGCTTAAGCAAATTCATTGTACTGTAATAAATGTCAACGACGAAGTTTCACTGAGCAAGTTTGTGTGACCGGTAGCCCCGCCCTCTCAATACCATTGGCTGCGCTCTCCAAAGAAGCCACCAAAACAGAATCGGATTGGTTTAACCTGCTTTCACTTGGAATCTTTCACAAATCCCCTAGTTAGCTTACCAAGCTAGTTTAAGTTAACGACAACCTACACGGATATACTTTGTTGTTATAATATACACGTGTGTTATTTTTATACAAACATTACTATGTTTCATAAGAATGACGAGACGTGACTCTAGAAACCCACCTGAGTTTTAAATTCCTCCGACAACATGACCTGTCACTTGGTCATCTGAAAACAAGGCTTTGCTATCAAATGTAACGAGTTATCTCCCAACCGTATCCTGATACGAAGTGGTTAGCTCTTGTGATTCTGAAGGGTCTCTCGCCATACCGCAGCACAATCATCGACATATATACAGGTTCTGCAGTTTGTTATAAGTAACTGTAACCACCATCGTAAATTGGGACTCTAGATGGCGCTGTTGTCAAAAAGAGCACATGCAAAATGTCAAGTCAAATTTTCTTTATTCTGTACCCTTAGTCCAATACACAGAAGTAGAAAAAACATTGTACAGGTAAGATAAAATGAAATGGGCACAATATGACACGCTAACGTACAATAAACAATAATCAAAACAGAAACAAGAGACAGTAGTGTGAAAACAAAATATAAATTATAGTAACTCCCTACTCTAAAAATGAAAAAGACAGTTGTAGTGCTTCCACATCTTTGACTGGTTGGTTTCTCTGAATTCGGTGCACTTGGGGTTTGGGGTTACTGAAAAATAAACCACACAGAATTATGTTTCTGAACATTGCATCTGATGAAGGACTAAACCTCTGAGAAACTATATTTACTCACCTTAGGCATAATATCCCAGGCATGATCAGGAATAGCTTTGTTACCTAAGTCATTTTAAATTAAACCCTGTAACAGAACAAACTGAATCATGTGTGACTATTATTATTATTTAAAAAAATTCAAATACATTTAGTAAAAAACATGGTGATCACTTTTCATGTTTGTAAAATCACATGTTGTATAGGTATTTTGTTTGATTTTAAATAAAACTAGGTGAACTGTATTTCTTGCAGAAATGTTGATTAACTGATATCTGAAGCTGCTGAATAGCTGATCGGAAGAGGAAACTAAGCTAAATTGTCAAAATGAGCTTAGAGTATCTGAAGATTTAGGCGCAAAATCACTAACAAGTGTAATAATGCCCAAAAATAAGGTCAAGAATGGAGAAAAAGCCTAAACAGCGGAAAACTGAAATCTCTGAACATAGTTAATAAAAACAAACTGGACAGCTAGAATGTTAATAAGGGCTTGTATTTGTTTACGAATTGTTTTATGAATAAATTTTCTCAGTTAGCTGAACTGTGCAGCATATGCTGATTTCTGAAACTGAGCTGAACATGCCCAAGAACTCAGATGATGCTGAAACTGAGTTCAATTATCAAAGTTAGCAGAATGAACAGCACAGGCCAAAAGTTTGGACACACCTTCTCATTCAATGTGCTTTCTTTATTTTCATGACCATGACCATTTACAAAGGGGCCAACAACTGCTAAACACCTCTGGGAACTCCTTCGAAACTTTCGGAAAACCATTTCAGGTGACTACCTCTTGAAGCTCATCAAGAGAATGCCAAGCATGTGCAAAGCAGTAATCAGAGCAAAGGGTGGCTATTTTGAAGAAAATAGCATATAAAACATAACTTTTTTTGGTTAAGTACTTAATTCCACATGTGTTCATTCATAGTTTTGATGCCTTCAGTGACAACCTGCCAATGTAAAAGGTCATGAAAAAAATGAACACATATGATGAGATGGGTGTGTCCAAACTTTTGGCTTGTACTGTATTTGGAATTTCTCAAAAGATTAGCAGAAAGCGCTACTAACACATAGAGACGTGAATTAAAATTAGATGGAAATTGGTTATACACACACACACACACACACACACACACACACACACACACACACACATATATATATATATATATATGTATATATATATATATATATATATATATATATATATATATATATATATGTATATATATATGTATATATATATATATATATATATATATATATATATATATGTATATATATGTATATATATATATATATATATATATATATATATATGTATATATATATATATATATATATATATATATGTATATATATATATATATATATATATATATATATGTATATATATATGTATATATATATATATATATATATATATATATATATATGTATATATATATATATATATATATATATATATATATATGTATATATATATGTATATATATATATATATATATATATATGTATATATATATATATATATATATATATATATATATATATATATATATATGTATATATATATATATATATATATATAATTTTTTTCAGGCTAAATGACTCCAAGTAATCTGCTGTCAGACTGATTTTGGATTTGTTTGGAGTTGTTTTTAATCATCATGTAATCTTCATTACAGCCTTTGAGTTTTAACATCAACTGTGTTTTCGTTTCTTAGCTTATTGCTACACATGTGTTGCTGCTGCAAGCTTGGAGCTAGATTACATCGTGACATCATGAAGGAGACTACTGATTCTGGCCCTGTGACACTTGGTGACGTGTGAGCTGATTCACCTGGTAAATGACTTTTACATTAAATGTTTTGTTATTTTCTATCAAAAGTAAATTAACTAATAATCTGCATTATAGTAGGACACAGCAAACTATGGATGCTACACCATGAGGCGCAGGCACACGTCAAGAGTCTATAAGAGCACATGAGGTGAGCAACACCACAGATTATTATTATTATTATTATTATTATTATTGCACACTGTCCTGGATTTGCTTTCTTTCTGCATCTCATCATTAGCCTGGCTGGTCACCTGATAACTCCTGTCATCTGGTTGTGACAGCATGAGGATGTCCTCAACACACCTGTGACCTATCAGCTCATCTGGCAGAATAGAGAGAGAAGAGACAACACCACATCTCCTGTTCCTGGAAAGCCTTCAGCCATCCTTCGATGACTGAGAACCTCCATCAGCTCTGTCTCCTGTCTGCCTCCTGGCTGACTGGTTAGTGCACGTGACTTTCACCCGGGAGTCTGGGGATTAAATCCTGATTGGATAATTATTTTTACATCCGCCACAGATCTCTCTGAAGAACTTAGAACTGACAACTTCAGCAATGCTGTGCCACTCTGTGGATTTTCTCTTATTTGTTTTGCAAAAGCACGTCTTTTCATTTCTCCACCTCACCCACAAGTACCTGAATTTCTGCTAATGAAATAACGCTTCCTTGATCTACGGTCGCCATGTCATTGGCGGAGCGCTGCAGCAGCCGGCTTGAGTAAATGCATGAGATCCACAAGGCACTTTGCATTGACTATTTATGGCAGTAAGTGGGTGGGGTGAGGGCGGGATGTGACTAAAATGCAGCTGAGAAACGTTCTCGTTAGTCTCCGATTTATGACGCGGTGATTGCGTGTAGCTGTGCGTACTCCATGTTTGATAGATCACAAACCTACTTGGTGTAAGTACATTTTCTTTGCTGAGCTTAAGTACGTTTTCGTAAGGATTCTACGCAATGTTTGATAAATGAGACCCCTGGTCTGCTTGTCTCCTCCAAATAGACTTGGTCCCTTTCTTCTTGATTGTCTGGGTAAGGAGAGGGAGAAAAGTCCTCCACTTCTAATGACTGCTCAGTGTGAAAAAAGCTGGCTTCTTCGTCTCGTTACCCAGGCCTAGTCCACACGTAGCCGGGTTTTTTTTAAAAAACGAATATCCGCCCCTCCAAAAACTTGCATCCACACCACCTCGTTTAAAACAAACTCTGTCCACACGTACCCGGATAAATACGTTGTTAAGGACATGCCAGACCTGTAGGTGGCAGTACTTCCCCCGTTCTTAACCTCGTCCTTCGTCTGTGGTCTTCCGCAAGGAGCAGTAATTCCGCTTGCAAAAACAAACAAGCAAAAAGCGCTTGGACAATTGATAAAGCGAGCGCAGCTCTGAGGGCATCCATGCTGTCGGCTAGTGTAAACACAGGTCGCACACGTGATGTCAGCATTTTTTTGTCGCGGAAAGTGACGCTGCGGACCTTAAAACTCCGGTTTTGTCTGTCCACACGCAGACACCCAAAACGGAGAAAACGCAGATCTTCACTTTGGCCGGAGTTTTTGAAAAGATCAGATTTCATGTGAAAAAACTCCGTTTTCGTGTGGATGACAGGCCAAAACGTAGAAAAATATCTACGTTTTGGCAGATCCCCGGCTACGTGTGGACAGGGCCCCAGCCGTCTTCGTCACTGCCGCGGCCCCGCCCTGTCGGTCCGCCAGGAAACGCCTACTAATGTTGCAATTTTCAAATTTCATAAGTGGATGGAGAAGGACTCTGAGGTAGGGTTGATAAGCCCTTTAACTTGGGCTATTACCAGAAATAAAAACCGGCGTGTCGTTTAGAATCCGCATTTTAAACATGAATTGAAACTGAAGCTCAAAGAGGCGGAGTCTTGCTGCTGGTGAGTTTTCATTGGTCGGTTGCAGACAGGAGTCGTAGGTTTTCAAGCAGTGCTTGAAGACTTTTTGTGGCTGATTTGGTCATGAGACGACTCAAAAAGCTGTCACAGAGACGGTGTCAGTACAAGATCTGCTCGGGTGCAAAATTGGCTCGGGGTCCGTCGACTGCCGATGACGTCTCAGTAGTTGATTGGCTGAACATGAACCTTACGGAATTACGTAATCACGTTACGTTGTTATCACGTTACGTTGGTCCAGGCAAATCTTTGTGTTGGAAAGATGGACAACTTTTACAAAGAAATCCATCATTACCTCTTTGAAAATACACTTTTAGCATAGAGCTGCATGTATATTAGGGCTGAACGATTAACTGCATGTGCAATTAAATTGCGATGTGACAAAAGGAGATTTTCTAATCGCAAAGGCTGCAATTTGGCAGCGAGTGGTTAGCGCAATGCTAATATACGTGGAAAAACCCATAGGAATGCTAATGCTAATATCACCGATTACATTATTACAAATTATGAATTAGAAACGTGCCAAATGATTACATTTGGAGTCTAATAGAAAGTAAAACTACCATCAATCAAATAAGTA